AAAAAAAAAAAAAAAAATTATTCGCAGCCCTTTTTATTTTTTATGTTGAGACAGGGTCTTGCTGAGTTGCTGAAGCTGGCCTCAAACTGGCCTCCTGAGCCACTCTGGGATCACAGGTGGTGTGTACCAAAGTGTCCAGAGGTTTTTAATAATTAAAAGCAGGGGRGCTGGGGATATAGCTGTTGTTAGAGTGCTTGCCTCGCATGTACAAGGCCCTAGGTTCAATCCTCAGCACCAAAAAAAAAAAACCCAAAACCAAAACCAAAAAACCCCAACCCATGCCAGGCTTCCTGTATATCCTCACTGCAGTTGCCCCTTATTCCTGGCAGAGCCTCACAAATGCTAGGCAAGTGCTCTTCCATTGAGGTAGACCCCCATCCCCTCTCATTAGTTTTATGTTTCAAAAACATTGTTACAAGAGAGCACTAAGCCCTCAAATATACCATGTGTGGGCATCTCTCACAGGTAGCTTTTAAAAGATATCCATACTTAATATCCCCTTTTGGAAAATTCAATCCATTTGAAAAAAATGKTCATCTTAAATGGATGTATGTATCTTATATGAATTTAAAATAAACTTTAAAGGAATCTGCTAATTGGATATATCCAGTTTTACAATGGGATTATTCTGAAAATTGACCTCCATGAAACCATTGATCATTGAAAAGACTAAGACTTCAAAAAATAATCACCATGTGTTTAACATCATGGAACAAAGTTACAAAAGAAACATCAAAACATTTTTAAAAGTTTGTGGTTAAGATTTTTTATACCTTTGTGGTAAAGAAAAGGAAATTATGGGGGAAAAGAAAAGCATCACGTACCAACACCAACAGCACCAAACTGCTGCCCRACTAATGAACTTGGACTGAACTGACTGTATGTTGGCATCCTGCCAAAAGGTCCATAGGAACCCACWGACTGGAATGAAGAAGTAGATGAACCTAGTGAGGACTGGAAGAAAATCATGGGTTATTTTCCTTAGCAACATGAATATAAYGGAGAGAAATTCAGTTTTTTAAAACTTTCAAGTATTAAATTATAACTACTAGTATAAAAGCAATTACCATGACTTTTTTATTTAGTATTACAACAGCTGAACAACCTCCCTTAATATTTGTATATTATGTACCAATTATACTCAATGGGAATTACAAATACTTTTTTCTAAAAAAAATCATCCTGTGATTTAAGAGTTTTATAGCARATTTAGGAAAGAATAAATGAAAAGTGAGTAAGTAAAGTAACTTTGTTTAAGGAAAAATTGCATTCAGTAATACTGGATGTCAGTCTGTACTGAAAGAAGTAACACATCTCACTTGTGATTTTCCTTTTATTTTCAACCATTTGAGGACTACTATTAAATTCATAGGAATGACATGCAGAAACCAACATATCCCACACAAAACATTTTTATAGGCAATTATATTAAGTTGAGGAAGATTTTTTATATAAATCTTAAATTACCAAATCTACAATATATTTAATACATATATATTTTATTAATTTATTATAAAATATTCCATAATGTAAATATGAATGTACTGAAGGCTCCTGGATATAAGGTCATTTTTTAAATTTCTAGTTGTAGATGGACATAATACTTTTATTTTATGTATTTATTTTTATGTGGTACTGAGGATCGAACCCAGTGCCTCACACATACTAGGCGAGCACTCTACCACTGAGCCACAACCCCAGCCCAATATATAAGGTCATTTATGGGAAGATCTTTATCTTGTGTTCATTATTAATATCAACTGTATGCTAGATACTCAATAAGTACTGCTGAACGAATAAAATGAACAAGTTGAAGATTCTRATGGCTGGAAGAAGTTATTCAACACCATTTTGATTTGTGCTCTCTTCATTTTTCTCCCTCTCTAAAACTGATTAACTCAAATAACTGGTTGCTACAGAATTATCAAAGATATATGTAGGGTTGGGGTTGTAGCTTGACTTGCAAGTCCTGGGTTCTATCCTCAGCACATAAAAATAAATAAATAAATAAAAAGATATTGTATCCATGTACAACTAAAAAAATATTTTAAAAAAGACATATATAAGGGGCTGGGGCTGTAGCTCAGTGGCAGAGCACTTGCCTAGCATGTGTGAGGCACTGKTTTGATCCTCACCAACACACATAAAATAAATTAATAAACAAAGATATTTTATGTCAGTCTACAACTAAAAAAAAATATTTTTAAAAAGATATATATAAGGGACAATAAATAAAATAACACCAGTCTTTAATGTGGGCAGCTATTTTGCAACACTTTTGCAAAACCTTATAGGGAAAGGGAGCTTGCTATATGAAGATGACTTGTTTTCTATTTAAGACTTTATCTGTTAAACAAGCAAAAAAAGAAAATTTCTGGTTCATCATTCTGTATTCTTTTTT